GACCCATAGCGACCCTGTATAGGGTTTCTGAGGAGCAGCTGGTGAGCTTGAACTGCCAACCTTGCAGTTCAAACGGCTTTGCAGTCTGGCGCATTAACTCACAGCGCCACACCAGGACCTGATGCGTAGTTTGTGTCAGTTAGACACGTAATTTCACTTTTAGGTCTATCTTCACTTAAATCATTATTTAGTGCCCCGTCAGCAAATGAAGGTCCTGAAAGCTTTGCTCCATTCACATCATGAAGGTCGAGTCAGCTCTGAGGAGACAGCTCGTCCCCAGTGCACTTTGGGTGCCATCCAACCTGAGGGACCATCTTCCGGTACTAGATCTGAAGTGTTCCGCTGCTGTTCGTAAGGTTCTGAGTGGCTAACCTTTCAGAATGGCCCTCCTAATGAATCTGTCATAGTCTGGAACCTGGTGACACCTGTCCACCACAGCTGTCGCTTCCAGCAACACGCAGCACGACAAACTGACAGATGAATGGTGGTCGTCTGCCTAGAAGTTTAGCAATTGTATTGATCTTTTCAAAGACCCAGCTTCTGAATTCACTGATTTTAAATTTTCTTATTATTGCCTGCTTCAGTTTTACAGATGTCTGCTCTAAGTTGGATCACCTCTTTTGTTTGACATATTATGGATTCAATTTTCTGTTATTTTTTTGAGTTCGGTAAGATAGATTTCTGTTGTGACGCTGTAGGATACGTGCCGGACTGCAAGGTCAGTTTGAACCACAAGGTTGGGTGTTCAAACTCATCAACCGCTCCTTGGAAACCCTATATTGGGTCACTGTGAGTCAGAACCCACTGTACTGCTAACCATAAGGTCAGCAGTGAAGCCCACCAGCTGCTCCTGGGAAACCCTACACAGGGTCGCTATGAGTCAGAACCGACTCCAAGGCACTTACCACCACCACCAAGATAGAAGTTTAGATTACTGAGCTTAGATCTCATCTTTTCTAATATATTCATTTAGTGCTATAGATTTCCCTGTAAGCACAGCTTTGGTAGCATCTTACAAGTTTTAATACATTGTATGTTCATTGTTTAAAAATGGTTTTATTGTGAATTGAGTGAAAGTTTACAGAGAAGATGACCAGTTTTACATTCAATGCATATTCATCTTATTTTACTTAATAATACTTAAAAATTCTTTGGCGATTTCTTTGACCCAAGTGTGTGGTACATTCTCCAAATATTTGGAGGTTTTTCCAGCCTGCTCTCTAGTTTAATTCTGTCATGGCCAGCATACATATGTTGTATGATTTCTGTTCTTTCAAGTTCACTGAGGTATGGTTTATGACCCACAGTGTGGTCTCTCTTTGCGAAGCCCCTTGCCGTGGGGGGAGTACACACTATGCTGCAAACGTCAGCTGTTGGGGTTCAGTGCTGTCGAGTTGGTGCCAACTCGTAGCAACCCTGTGTGGAGTTCCCCAGGCTTTTCAAAGTCTTTGCAGGGGCAGAAAGCCTCATCATTCTCCTGCGGAGCAACGGGTGGACCCGAGCTGCCAACCTTGCGATTTGTAGCCAAGTGCTTATCTTTTTTAAAAAAGCTTTTAATTGTGAATTGAGTGAAGGTTTACAGATCTGATCATCAGTTTTGCATCCAGCAAACCCTGTATTTATTTCATCTCAATGATTGCAGCCTTCTCCGGACAGCAGTAGTGAGCTTGCTTCCTCCTTGGGGCTCCTGCTAACATCCCACCCTCCTTCCCTTCCCTTGTCAACTTTGTCCTTTAGACCGTTCCGTGGTGAGCACACCTGACTAGTCTTGTTCTTCTGTATACCTATCTCCTGCTTGGCTCACAGCTGGGCCATGAGGGTATGCTGTGCTCCAGACCTGAAGGGTGCTTGAGGTCCATGGTCTCGGGTTCCTTCCGTCTCCTTCTGACTTGTAAGCTTGTTTTTTGTTTTTAAATACTTTTGAGTTTTGTTCCACAGTTTCTTCTACTTTATCTGGGACTTTTTAATGTGATTCCTTTCAGAGCCATTGGTAGTGGTAGTTGGGCACCATGTATCTAGTTCTGGTCTCAGAGTCGTGGAGATGGATGTTCACCTGCCCCACTGGTCCACTGGGCTAGCTGATTCCAAGCATCTTCAGTTTTCACCACTCTTCTGGCTTCTGCACATAGAGAAACCAAGAGTTACTATGCCTTAGATGGCGGCTCAGGACCTTTTCAGATCCCAGTCGGTGCTCACCAAAGTAGGCTAGAGAGCATTGTCTTTGTGGACAGTGTTATGCAGATATGGACCATGATGTCCCTTGAGACTATGGTGGACCCCCAGACCCAGGAAGTCATTGCCGTAAGATGTTTGCTTCTATCTAAGCTGTTTTCTTTGTTTTCATCCCTGTGTGCTCCACCACATTCATTCATGGGTGTGTTTGCGTCAAAGGTATTCACAAACGCTCTCTCAAACCCTTACACATATGTGGGTCTCCTCCCACTCTCCCTCTCGTTCAGCCTGTGTGTCTGTCCATGTGTCTACCCATAGATACTGTTGTTCTAGGGTTGTGTATACAACACGATTTACCCGTGTCCTCTTTAACCCCTGTCTTTACCTGTCTTCATCAGTCTTCTGCCAGCTGCTCTCTTCTGGAGCCGCCATGCTCCCATAAATGTAATTAGGTCTGAGTGATGATGCCGTTCAGTTCACTCTGCCCTCCCTGTTTGTGGGTCTGTCAGCGAGGGATGGGGCACTGAAGCCTCGCGCCATGACAGTGGACTCCTCTTTTTCTCCCTGTGGTTCTGTCCATTACTACCTCGTGTCGTTTGGGGTGTTGTTGTTAGGTACATGTGTGTTCAGTATTGTTATGTCTTCTTGGAGCATGGAGACTTCACACTGTGGTGGTGACCATTTCTCTCCACAGATGCTGCAGTTGGAGAAGAAGCTTGAGCTTGAACTTCAGGATGATGCCAGAGTCATTGCTTGCCGCTTCCCCTTCCCACACTGGACCCCAGATCACGTCACTGGAGAGGGGACAGACACTGTGTGGGCATATGACATGAGCACGTTTAGAGCAAGTGTGAGAGGATCCCCAGTGGCCATGCCGTGTCAGCCTCGGTGAAGTGCCTGCTCCCTGAAGTGCTGACTTCTCATCTGCAGCGTCTGAGACCACGTCCTTGACGCCTGACTCCTAAGGGCGATGCGCAGAGCCATTCACCTGAACAGACTGAAGTGAGGAGAGATGGTGACTCTTCATGCAGCTCAGGATGCTGCCGTGGGAAACTTCAGTAGCTCCTCACACCATGGAGATGAAGGCCGCTTTCCAAAGACGATACACAGTAGCACATGCTTACCATTTCCTACAGAAATAAAGTCTCCATTCTGAAATTTCTCTTTGTATTTCAAGAAAAAATTAATTTTCCAGAGGATTTAGAGGAGAATTTGTTTTATAACATGTAATTGTATCAAATCTAAGATGTATGTGCACATATGTGTATGTGTGTGTATACGCTTTAGCATTTCTGGAATTGGGGTGCATCTTCCAGCTGACAAGGAACAGTGAGTTAAGCATTGGGTTGTTAATAGAAAGGTCAGTGGGTTGAATCCACCAGCCGTTCTGTAGAAGGATGAGGCTGTGTGTTCCCTTAAAGATTTACAGCATTGGAACCCCTTTGGGACACTTGTACTCAGTCCTAAAGAGTCACTAGGAGTTGGAACCAAGCTGCTGGCAGTGGGTTTGGGTTTTGACATTTTGCAGCTGAGTGGGCAGAGGCCTTCACAATTTTAATTGGTGGTGTACATCTTGATGTAGTTGTGTCACCTCCGGTTGGTAGCGTGTTTGATTTCTGAGGACAGTGGTTAGGTGAAGATGATGTGGAGGTGTTCGAGAAGGTCCAGGAGCGATTTCATAGTGAAATACACAGTCACGCCCAGGTGACCTCAGCCTGGTGACTGGGATTTGTGCTGGGTCCCCTGAGAGGTCTTGTCGTCAGGATAGTGAGGCATCCAACAGGTTGGGGGCCAAGGTGTAGAAGGCACCACCCACAGTCTGTGGTCCTGAGTGGACAATTATCATCGCGGAAGCTGTGGATTATTCCCACTCGCTCCTTCTTATCTTTCGAAGGCAGCCATTTACTTACTATATTATCTTGTTTATGAGAAGAGGCTTGGCTAATTTAGATAAAAGTGAAGGGATGGGAGGAGACAGATTTCAGATATCTGACAATTAATAGTGAGTGGCGGCTCGAATAATAATCCCTGCTTATCACAGTGGTGACCTCCAGTCCCAGCTGAAATACCAGGCTATCCCCACGGAGCACTGATAATGGTAAGCGACACACATCTTCCCCTGAACTGATCACAATAGCATCATTCTGGTCATTTCCATGGAAACAGGAAGCGACTGTGGACCCACCCGTGCACTCGGCGAACATTGCGGGTCTCCCTGTGGCGCACAGTTCTACCCTGACACACATGGGCCGCCAGGAGTTGGAGCCGAGTCAGTGGCAACTAGAAGATCAACTAAGAAGCTCAGTGGGTGGACATGCCAGGCCCTCCCCTCATGGAATTTATCTTCTAGAAGGGGTGACAGATGGACAGGCAGATGTTCTCTGGCAGAAATGACAGCAGCTCTGGGAGGCAGGGCGAAGGCTGGGCTGTGGTCCATCCCAGTTCCCTTCCCAGCAGCCCCTGGTTAGCTCCTGACCTCCTAGAGAATGGATTCTCCCCATGGTGTGCAGTTTGGTGGAAGGACAGTTCTTCGAGGATATCGAGTCATCGATAAAGAAGACCACTGGCCACATGGATTGATACAGTGGCAGCAGCAATGCACTGAACCATGGCACTGATTGTGAGGAAGGCAGGCCCAAGTTCTGTTTTCTGTGAGATTGCTGAATGACCATTCTCCTCATGTTTGAGTGTTGGATGCTAAAACAGGGCTTCAGCAACATCGGCAATTGGGCAGAATCAAGACCACAAAGACAGCATGTGACGTGACTTGAAGCGACTCACCAGACAGAAAAGCACACTTCTTAGCTTAGACAGGAACGTGGGAACCGAGGAAGATTCCTCCTCAGACACGAGGGAGATGGTCACTCAGACACGAGGAGAATGGTCACTCAGACACAAGGGAGATGGTCAGACACGAGGGAGATGGTCATTCAGACACGAGGCAGATGGTCAGTCAGACATGAGGGAGATGGTCAGTGAGACACAGGGAAATGGTCACTTAGACACAAGGCAGACGGTCACTCACGAGGGAGGTGGTCAGTGAGACACAGGGAAATGGTCACGCAGACACAAGGGAGATGGTCAGTGAGACAAGAAGGAGATGGTCAGTGAGACACAAGGGAGATGGTCACTCAGACACGAGGGAGATGGTCACTCAGACATGAGGGAGATGGTCAGTGAGACACGAGGGAGACTGTCACCCAGACACGAGGGAGACGGCTCCTCAGACATGAGGGAGACAGTCAGACACAAGGGAGACAGTCAGACATGAGGGAGACAGTTAGTCAGACACGAGGAGAACAGTCACTGGGACACGAGGGAGACAGCTCCTCAGAAATGAGTCCTTCATCAGCCCCTGGGCAGGCAGGACAGCCAGGTCAGGAGTAGGCCTGTGAATTCTCCTCCAGCACCTCAGATGGTCCCCCTTCACCACGTCTTCCTCTGCCTCAGGAAGGGAGGGAGTGGGTGTTCCAGGAGGGTGTCCAATGAGCCTCATGCTGGCAGGAGCTGGCTAGGGGCCTCAGGGAGACCAGCTCCACACTGCAGACCGCCTGGAGGGAGCCTGCTTTCCCTCCTTCCAGCTCAGATGTGGCTTGTCCCCAAGGTGACACGGTTTAAGACGTGGGAAAGGTGCCGAGGCAGCAGCCTTGACAAAGGCGGGGCGGGGTCTGGGGCACAACAGAGGGGTCTCCAGGTTTGTGTGGGTGGGAGCAGTAGCAGAGGAAGCTGGCAGGCAGTTCAAACATCTGGAGGGTTGCCGGCAGAGGAAGGAGGCAGAGCAATGGCGATGTTGCCCTGTGCTGGGGTCCTCCTCCTCAGGGGCGCGTCTCCATTCTAGACCCTCTGGGGAGTCTCTGTGCCGGATGAGTCAGTCGGTCACAGGGGTTCAGGGGCTTTATTCCACCTGACACCTCTGAGATTAGTTCTGTGTGGCTGGCTGATCGGGGGAGGGCAATGGAAACGAAGCTCATTCAGTGTCCAGTGTGGTTTCAATGAAGCTGTCTGCATGTGGCCACTGGGCGGGGTGTTGTAGAAGGATTTGCTAACTGCAGTCAAATCCTGGAGACAACCTGAAAGACTGAGATTTCCCCACCAGGGCCTCTCAGTCAGTCCTCCATTTGTCTGTGAAATGCAAAGTCAACTTCAGTGGCCAAGGTGTCCCATGAAACTCCTACAAAGCTTAACACCCCAGAAAACACAGGCCCACTACCATCAGCTTGATTTGACTTATATATAGTGA